TATATATATATATATATATATATATATTTAAAAAACAAATAATAGAGAGGAGAAAAGAAAAACGAGAAATTAATTTTGTGCAGTTATTTGGTTTTTCTTTTACTTAACGCATGGCTTCTCAAAATTTTCCACGCAATCCCGACGATCCCATATGAAGTCGCAATCGACACTTTGAGAAGTCCTGAATTAATGTAATTTTTACGTTATGATAATTATATAAGTAAAAATAATTAAAAAAAAACAATTTTAAAAAAACAATCTGTTCTGTATTTGGTACAATTCGTATTAGCAGTAATAAAAATTAAAGAAAATAAAATATAAAAATAATTGGTTCATATTTCGAAAAATTTGTATCCGGTATTAATTCAGGATAAAAAAATTATTTATAAAAAAGTAATGCAACCAGTTATGATAATTGTGTAGTTGTGTTTTAATAACATTAAATTTATTTCATTTCGTCCTCTCTTTTATAAACTGCATTACTGACAGAGCGTAAGGTTTGGTTAGGTTGCATACGAGAGTCAGTAGTGAGTAACACGTGTATGCCGGCTCAAGGTAAAAGAAAGTGTGTTTATTGAGTTGTTTATTTTTTATATTTAAACAGTGTTATATTTATATTTAAACATCAAAATGGGTGTACACGACAACGCGGAATCCAAATATAATGTTATGGGAACGTCGAGTTTCTCCAAGTTAGCACCGAAACGACCAAACACTGTTGTTTTTGGGGAGAATCCCGCCAAAGTCCAGAAACACGAGGAAAATAATTCAAGTTTTCAGAATGTTGAGAATATGGAATCAGGAAACGTCAATAGTTTTCATCAACAAAGAAAATCTCTACCAGTTTATCGTCTTCGGAAACGGTGAGATTTACAAAAATACAAAACATAACCTTTCTTTTTTTTTGTCTTTCATCGAATCGCATATCTCTTTTTCTCTTTCTATCCCTTGTTGAGTTTTGAGTCAATTCTATTATTTATGAAAGGAATTAGTATATTTTTATCAAAGAACGTGAGATAAGTGCAACTTTATGGTAAATATCCGGAATTGTTGCCACCATTGTTGATTTCCATTCTTATCGGTAGATAACGTTTCCAATCTTCTACGGCGCGAATATTCAAACGTTCGTAACAGGTGGTTTTTGATGATCTTCAAATAAGAATTATTTTTTTTTTCTTTTTTATATATAATTGTTGTTTCTATTAAATTAACGAAATGAAAAATTTCATATTAAACGATGAAATTAAAGGACCGATAAAAATAATTCCTAAACGTTTTACAGACTTTTGGAAGAAATAAGAAAAAACAGTACGTTGATTATTATCGGAGAAACTGGTAGTGGTAAAACTACACAGATTCCACAGCTGTTGCTCTCATCAGGAATAGTTGGTCTTGGTGGTCGCGTTGGTATAACTCAACCGCGAAGGGTAGGCGCAGTTAGCATAGCTCGTAGAGTTGCACAGGAGCAAGGGGTGGAAATTGGTAAACTAGTGGGTTACTGTGTACGATTTGAAGATGTGACGTCATCTCAAACCAGAATCAAGTACTTGACGGATGGTATGATGGTACGGGAAGCTATGACCGATGAAATACTATCGGATTATTCGGTTGTAATATTAGATGAGGCACATGAAAGATCTGTACAAACTGACGTACTACTTGGTGTTGCTAAACGAGCACAGAATTTGAGGAAGTTGAAGAACTTGCCGCCACTTAAATTGTTGATCATGTCTGCGACGATGGACGCGGACAAGTTTGTTAAGTATTTTCATGCGCCCGTTTTATATCTCGAGGGTCGGCAGCATCCAGTTAAGATCTATCATGCTGTTAATAGTCAAGAGGATTACGCTTTTTCTAGTATGGTTACGGCCTTTCAAATCCACAGGGAGACACCAGCCAAGTAAGAGTTTGATCTTCCAACTTTGATATATATATATATATAATGAAAAGATTAGAAAAAATAAGTGAACGGGGGTGGGTGATATCATTTTGATCTTTTCCAGCGAGGACATTCTCGTGTTTTTGACCGGACAGGAAGAGATAGAGACTGCTGTAGCCAGTGCAAGACAGGTTGCCAAACAGTTGGACGGTAAAGGATACCCACCGTTGAAGATATTTCCTCTCTACTCGGCTCTACCGACTCATCAGCAGTTGGAAGCTTTCAAGGCTGCTCCCACGGGAATGCGAAAGCTTATTTTCTCGACGAACGTTGCCGAGACGTCCGTTACGATAGGCGGTGAGTCCTTTGATATCTTATTAGATAGTTGACGATTTTGCCGGTGATATAGATGGATGGTTATAGATGGTTAGGTGGAAAGATGGTCAGATAGGTAGATAGATGGATGAATAGATAAACGATGGGTGGCATAAACGGCTTTGTTGAGAAGAGTTCCTTCTTGTAGGTATTCGACACGTGATCGATACTGGTATGGTCAAAGCAAGAACGCATCACCCAACGACGGGACTGGATGTGCTCAAGGTGGAACAGATCTCAAAGGCGCAAGCTTGGCAAAGGACAGGAAGAGCCGCTCGCGAGGCATCGGGAAAATGTTATAGGACTTACACAAAGGACGAGTTCGAGAGGATGAAGGAGATGCCTCTACCGGAGATACAAAGGTGTTCTCTAGCGGGAGTTGCTCTACAGCTTCTCGCTATCGGCGTCGATATTACTAGTTTCGATTTTATGGACAGACCACCCAAGGAAGCTGTCGACGTTGCGGTGACGTGTTTGGAAAAGCTCGCAGCTGTGAAAGGTATATTATTGATTTCAGGTCCTAAAACCGATAGACTATACGAGAACTATCTTCCTCAGTGCTGCTTCGACATTCACCTTTCAGGTTCCCCACCGCAATTGACTACTCTGGGTAGAACGATGTCATTGTTCCCCTTGGATCCTCGATTTACTAAAGTGATTCTAGCTTCCGTTGAACATCGATGTCTCGAGGAAGCTCTCACCGTTATTGCACTCCTTTCTGTACAATCGATATTTGCCGATCCACCGGCTAAAAGACAACAAGCATACGCTGCTAAGTCTCGGTACATTCTTCATTCGTCGTATAATCATTTCTATTTATTTCAAATATTCATTATATCGTAACGTGTTTCAGATTTGCTTCTCCCGAAGGAGATCACGTTACTTTACTCAACGTTTTTCGTAGTTATATTAGTACAAGTCAGAAAAAGGTCTGGTGTCATGAAAACTTTCTACACCATCGGAATTTGGAATATGCCTCGGAAGTTAGAAAACAACTTGCCGCTTTAGCCGAACGCGCGAATTTAGAAAAAGTCAGTTGCGGAAATAATACGCAACAACTTAGGAAGGCTCTACTCGAAGGGCTCTACGATAACATTGCTGAATTACAAAGGAATAATAATTACGTTACGGTAACTTTTCTTTAATTACTTTTTTAATTATCATTTTATTCGTTCATATAGAAATATTATTTAACCCGGTGTATACTCCGTTTCAAATATATGATTAATTTGATTAATCAGAAAAATTCAAACGATGATTGGCCGTGTGATTTTGACCGTAGATATTTTATTTTAAGTTATACGATCGAATTAATTATTAATTTTCATTTCGATCTGAAATATTCAATCAAGCGTTAGCGAAAATTAAATAAAAGAGAAAAAAGAAAGGTTCGAATAAAAATTAAACCGGGGGAAAAAAATTTTCTGACGATGCATTAACCGCGTTGAATTTTTTAACATGAATTGCTCAAAAGAAACACGCGCTAATTATTCAGGTTACGAATGTAAATGGGTTAATCGTTTTGTTGGATTGCGAAGGAACAATTTGCACGAGTTTAAGAATTAATCAAATTTTTTATTAATGCACTTAGGTGAGCTCGAAACAGCCAGTTGCAATACACCCATCTTCAACTTTGCACAGTACAAAACCATCTCTGTTATTGTTCACGGAAATTGTAACTACCGGCAAGTGTTACCTACGTGATTTATCCGTCATCGAGAAGTCATGGTGTTCGAATAAAGGAATCGTTACGATCTAACACGAATTGATAAAATGATCAATGATTTGTATATCTCAATAATAATTAGATAAATTATTTTGATGAAGATAAAAATAATAATAATACCGGCAGGTTTTTCGGTAACGAAAGATATATATATTTAAAAAAAAAAAAACACGTTTATATGTATTTATATTAAAATATTATCCGAGTTAAGATTGTATTTGAATTTCTACTTATAATCAATAATTTACTTTTAATCAATAATTTATGCTTAACACATATATATACTTCTTCATTTATTTTATTTATATTTTCTTTTGTTATATTACGATAAAGTATCTCTAACAGGATTCATCTCCGATAATACAAATTTATTCTAGATTTTTGTTCAACAACGAACCCTCTTACTATATTCCCCTTTCCTTTCAAATCGGAATTGCAAATCGTGCTTTCAAGCTGATAGAGCTTAGAGAAAGAAGAAGAAGAAAAAAAACAAAAAAAGTGTAAGGACCAAAGGTTTAGAGAGAGAGAGAGAGAGGAAAAAAAAAGAAAAACTAGTCGATAGGTGACATACTATTTTGAAATGTTAATCTAATTTACGGATTATCGGATAAATTAGTTGGTAGGTGAAAGGGGGGTTTCGCTTAACTAATAAAACGTTTAATTAACAGATCAAGCAAACGATTTGTTTGATACAAACGTGTAGTTTAAGTTTTGGAATTGTCCCTTCTTCTTCTTCTTCTTCTTTTCCAGTTTTCTCGTTCTATATTTCCTTTCGTTGTAGTCGTCGTAGTAGCCGTTCATTGTTTGTTGGGGGGTTCCAAGTTCCCGTATCTACAACAGGTGGCCACCTTTCGGAGCCGTTATATTACGAGATGTAGCTGGAAATAGAATCGTTTCCACTTCTTTTATAACTGACGTTAATTGCCAAACGGGAGTATCGAAAACGAGTGTCGAAAATATCCGGAAGCAATTTTCGATAGGTCTGTTTGATTCTGTATGCGTGTATATCTGTGTGTGTGTGTGTAAACGCAACGTATACCTACAAATAAAAAAACGATATCGATGAACGACGACGACAGATGGTCAATTATTGATAATTTTTTTTGTTTTGTTTTTTTTTGTTTTTTTTCCAAGAGGAAAAGATGAAACAAAATATAAAAAAGACAGAAAAAAAAGAACACATTATTTCATAATAATAAAATATTGAAAATTGGTTAAAGGGGAGAAAGAGAAAAAGTAGAAAAATGTTTATCGATCATTTAATTTTATTAATTGTTTTCTAGATACTATAATTATAATCTAATTACAATCTTAATATTTAAAGTATCGAGAGATTGTTTCGAAAATGAACAGCCGGCTGTTTTTTTTATTTTTCAAATGTGAAATTATAATTCTTATTTTTTACTCAAAGTTATTGACTATTTTATATTATTTTTCATTCATATCTTTTCATTTCGTTTAATGATAATATAGTTGGATTTTTTTTTATTTAGAAGTGTGTTAACTTGTTTACGTGACCAACCCCCCACCCACCCATCCCGTTGTTACTTGTGTCATTTTGAAAAAATGTTAAATTTCGAAATTATATTAATCCCGATAACACAGACCACCACCTTGTTCCTTTTTTTTTTTATTTTGTTGTAACTTTTTTTAAATCTGTTAGTCCTAAAATTTGATTAACGAATTCGTTCAAAAGGTCATCGTCAAAAATTTCTTTTTTATGATCGAGATTCGCGTGAGTGCAACGAAGAAGAAACACACATTTTGCGTTAATTTAGTGACGACGGTTTTCAATGTGAGAGAAAAATTCGCTTTGAAAATTTTTCTCGGTTAAAGTGGGGCGGCGGTGGGGTTTGAGGGTGGTCGTAGGGGGTCGAAGCAATGACCTCGACCGCTCGTTCATTTCTATCTTCTCTCACTCAATGTTTTAACTTCTTTTTTATTTTCCTTTCGGGGAAGAGGAGGTCAATAAAAAAAAAAAAAAAAAAAAAAAAATTTCTTCGAGGAGTCGTTGTCCTTTCGAAAGAAAAGTTTCACGAAAGTTACGAGGATACACACATCTCTCTTAACGTATTATTATATTATTATAT